AGATCACAACGTGAAGCACATCACATATCTTGCATATGTTTGACATTGACAAAGAGAGGAACAGATGGAAATCTGAAAGAAGGCCTTTTTGAGTAGATTGCATAATTGTCTTTCCCTGCTTCACACACCTTTGTGAAAGCATAAGAAGACTATGAGGTTATGTATGTCAAGAATTTGAGCTAAGCCACTTAGTTTTTGTTCACTGAGGTCTGGTGATTGCATGGATCACACTCAGGGGATTGCACTAGATTTTGAAAAGCCCCAAAATGTAGCAAAATCTCACTGTTACACCAGGGTGTCGCATATAGTACACGCGTCACACGTTACTTTGAGTAATTGCTAAACGATGCATTTGAAGATTTGGAAATATCCCTGAGAAAAAAAAAAGAATAACCTTTATAACATTTCTGTGGTCTTCCTATTTAGAAAGTGAAGGAAGCACATGCACCAAGAAAAAACAGATTTAGACTTTTTATGTTAAAAGACCCAAATTCACTTGATTACTGCTGGTTTGCCTGTCGGTTCATCTGTCACTTTTCTATACTTTGAACTGTTCTGTGTAAAGCGAGGCATAGGGCCGTATGCATATTTGTGGTGTGTGTGCATGATGTTTGCAGAAGCAAATGTTCCGATGTAGATCTGACTGTGATGAAATCCTGCACAAAAAATGAGTCTTTTTTATATAATCTTGAGTGGTCGTATGTGTGCGTGTGTGTCTGAGAGACAGAAAATGTATATACATGACTCATGAGCAGATGTATGTAAAGGAATAAACTTAATTAAACAAAGGTATGGACATTCTTCTTTTCAACTCATTTTTTTATTAACTGCTTCCTTGGCTGCTATTATTTGCTAGATAATAAGCGCTGACAGGCATCTTTGTAAGGTACACCTGTCCGCCTGCTCTTTCATTCTAATCAGCCAATCAAATGACAGCAACTCCGTTTATTTAAGCATGAAGACGCAAGATAACCTGCTGAAGCTCAAATCGGAACATCAGAATGGGTAAGACAGTTGATTTGAGTAACATTTAACATAGCAAGTATCTAGGGTTTACAGAGAGTGGTCAGACAAAGAGATCAAGTAGGCTTTAGATTTAGAAAATGTGTTAACGCCAGAGGTCAGAGAAGAATGGCTTAGTGACATTTATGACTACTTCAGTCTTCCTTGAATAGACTACTTTGGACCATGTCTAAAATGGTCTTCATTCCACTCTCAGTGAAAAACTTATCAAATAGGTTGAGATCATCGGGCGTTATCTTTGCTCAAGGTCAGATCAATAGTCTTTGTTCCTGGGCTGAGCTCTGGATCTGGGCAAAACCCTGCAAGAAGACATTTGTAAATAAAGTTAATTCATAAATTTGATTAATCTATGACCTTATCAAACATGGCGGTTACAAAAATATAAAGAGTATAAAGATAATATTAGATTGAAGAAGTAACATTCAGTTCAACTGCAGTTTCTAGGTTTTCATATTATATAAAGGTTTATACCTTTTTCTGAATCCAAGATAGCAGGTGGTTGTAGGTTCAGACACTCTGCCTGCTTTGTAAACTCTTCCAGCTCAGCAGCAGACACTTTAACTCTCCTACCTGGGAGACAGAAAAAGTAGACAGAAGGAATCATGATATTGAAGGAGAATTTGTGGCCATGAGCACATGAGCAAGGCCACCTCTGAATGGCTTTTAAAGTCTATTCATGCTTGAAAATCCAATCCAGTGCGGCTGAATTGAAGGGATTCTACATAGTAGAGTTTTT